GTAAAATTGTAATCATGTCCTATTATTAATTATAAATTTTAAAAATTATTAATTTGTAAATACTTAATTTGTTATTATTAAGTATTAAATGGGTATTTTTTCAAAATTATATTTCTTTTTCTCTCAATTTTACATTCTTATTCCTTAATAATTAATTAAACATAAAACAAACTTACAAGAGAATAAATTAAAAATGATTATTCATATATAATTAGATTATATTAAATAATCTATAAATATTTTTTAAAAAAGCTAAAAAAATGTCTAAAAAATGAAAAAAATACTTAAAACATATTAAAATCTCATTATTAAAAAAAATTTGACTCCAAAATACCAAAAATTGAATAATGATGATTTAATCTAATTTTACTTTGCTTTATTTGAATCAAATAATGATGCAAACAGATTGGATGATTGCTATAGAAATTAAATAATTATACAAGATTTTCCAAACATTCCAATTTAGTAGTTCAAAGATTTATTTTAATATTTAAAAAATTAAGTAATCATCTTATTAAAGATCAATGAATTTAATTTACAATAAATAAATCTAATATTTATTCAAAGATTTGAGTGATAAAAATAATTTTATGAAAATGAAATCTGACTTAATTGACTAATATTTTATTTTTAATCTGGTGAATATGATAGGTATTTCCTAAATTAATTTAAAAGAATTGAGAAGTAGAATTAATCTTATAATAGATAAGTTAACAGAAAGTATTGTATTTATAAATTTGAAAGATGCTAAGAAAAATGATATGCATCTCATCCCTATGTTGTTCAAACGATTTAATTTTTTGAGATTATTATAAAATTATTTAAATCAATAAATTTATCCTAAAAATTTTAGCCATTATTCTCCATTATGATTACTTTTATATACAAAAAAATAGAAATTAAAGAATACTCTATGCTACTTAATTTATTTGTATTAAGAAAAAATGCTAAGTTAAACCAAAATCAAATATACAATAGTATCTGATAAACTTCTTTATGAAAAACGGTATGAATGAGCTATAATTAAGCTATTTTCAAAAATGGCTGAGTAATGAAAAAGAGGTGCTTATAGATTTTGATATACAAAAATTTGTAATCTTCTCCTCAAGATGCAATTTTACTTTGAGATTACTCTAATGATAAAGATTCAGTAGAATCTTTATCTCAATTTAATACGTGAAGAACTTATATCTACACTTCTGTAATGAAATTATCCTTTTGTTATTTTAAATTGATAGTATTTTTATCAAATTCTTAATTTCTAGTGCTCACAACTTATTGAGTAACACATCTTACTTTATCATTGCATTAATTTCTTTCAAATATGATCCTTTATTTCAGAATATGATTTACTTTAATAAATAAATTAAAAAGAAAAATTACAATTTCAGATATCTCGCTTACTTTATTTTGTTTTATTTTTTATGGATTTGAATTGAATAATAAATGAATTTTTATCAGCTATATTTCTATGTTGTAATTATTCTGTAAATATCTAATTTTTGGAATAATTATAAAACAGGAATCAATAATTCTACTCTCTTTTTTTCTATAACACTATTTCATATTAAACTTTTTACTTTTTTTTTCCAATCAGTTAAATTATCATTTTAAAATGATCAAAGACTTTCAAACAATAATTTAAGTCTAAATAAGTTCACTATAAATAAATGTTTGTTAGAAAAAAGTCATTATATAGATGTCTGATTAATGATCTTTTATTTTTTTAAATCCATTGTGGGGATTATTAAAAAGGGATAAACTTGGGAATAGGGATATCATATATTCAAAAGATCTTATTTTTAGGAATAATTTGGAATTTATGTAATCAATTCTATAAACATTATTAGTGGAGGAGGTATTGATGATGATAGAATTAAAATGGGGGATATGGAATGAATTATGTGAAGATTATGACAAGTATTAAATATTTTTGAATTATTCAATTTACCTAATTGATATTTTAGGGTTTATATAAGAAAGGAAAAAAATAGAGAAGATGGGAAAGATTAGACTTATGATTTTGTGATAATGTAATGATGATTGTTCGATTTAATTGCTGGTGGAAAATAAGATAATCAAGGAAGGTAATGAGAGATATGGATTGAGTTATTTGAGTATTTCATTTATTAAAATAATTTATTAAGTGGCACCTAAGTTATTTAAATAGGGGAATATCTAAATGGTGTTAAATATGGAAAATGAAATATTTAAAATATATGTCATTTTAAGAATATTTTAAAATTTGTTAATATTGATTTTTTATATTTTTAAGTGTTGTAGTTATGTGTAATTTTGAGAATAAAATGGATAGTGAGCTGAAATGAAATTGTATGATCATGATTAGAAAATATTTTGGTATTCAACTAAAGTAAATCGAAGTATATATAGTGCGTCACACCCACTCCGGTAGCTGTAAATGAGCAGGTATCAATTAAAATGCTACAATGTTCAATAAAAGAATGGGATTTAATCAAACAAATTGACATAGTTTAATATAAGTTGAGTAACGTATGCCACTTTTTAAAATCTAATTATCTATATTTATAATTTATATCGTAGGTAAGGATTTTTGATATCAAATTTTCTATTAATTGTGTAATTATAGATTAAGTAAAAATATTGAAAAACAAGTAGCAGATATAATATATTCTATCTGCTATTTGAATTTCAAAAGCTCTCTAAAATTCATCTCTTTGATAGAATATTGTTTGAATTAAATGAGCTGATATAAATCAACTTAGAACCTAATTAACTGAATTGAATTGGATTTAGAAATATTAAAGGGTGTTATATACTTTGGGACTCTATTTTTAACTTGCTTCCTATAAGTATTAAGAAATGATATTATAGATTAATATCCAGTCAAATAAATTTATTGACAAACCCTTTTCAAAACTTGGCACCATTAATTGACTTATAAAAATGTACAATATTTTTATTCCTTAACTTTTTAATAGTAGTATTTATGTTATAATGATATTTGGTGTACAATTGAAGTATTGCTTTAATCTGTTTATTAGAGATGATGAAAATCATAGCCCATAAAATCTTAATTATCACATATAAGATTAAATTGAATTTATACCAAAAAGTTTTTTTCTAAAATGAAGTAATTGTATATATACGCTAACCGAAAATAATTAATTTACTGATATCTCAGGTATTAAATAGAATTTGACTAGATGAAAGATAATTTTAGTAATTAAAAAGTCATGAACATATCAACCAAAAAATAATTCGAAAGCTACTACTTATTTTATAGCAGTTAACATTTTACTGCCTATTTTAAACATTTTTCCAACAGTTCGAAAAATTGCCTTCACTAGGTTTATAAGAAAAATAGAATTACCTAAAAATGTGACATTAAAGTCTTTGCAATCTCATATATAGTCCACCAACAATTATACTCAATTTTGCGGCTGATAATAAGTGCACTTCTTTACGAATTAAACGGCCACAATTATAATATATAAATATTAATAATTTATCAAACTTACTTGCTTAAATCATTCGATAGATATTAAATAGTTTTCAAAAAGTGAAAACGTTTATTTTGAGTAGTTTTTAGATTCAATAATCATTGATATACAAATTAATTAACGGATAATAAGTTTAACATCATATTATTTAACTTTTTTTTAATTGGAAATTGATAAGTCAAGAAGAATTCTGATGTAAATCAAAAAAAGAAAACAAAGATGTTTATTGTATTCGATTATAAAATTAATTCTTTATAATAATAAGAAAAAAATATATATAATATATTTCAACTTATCACTCATCTCAAATATTTTCTACTTAAAACTAGTATGATGTAATTTTCAATTATATATTCATCTTATTATTAAATAGTATTACTTTGGAAATTGTAATTATTGGATTGATAATAGAAATAAATACATCTTTTTTTATAACCATAAGGTGTTTTAATTCTTTCTGTTGATATTAAGAGAGATCAAAATAATATTAATTTTATTCTATTAGGCTGGCAATGCAAGACTCTTCTTATGTAATTTGAAAAATGACTAAGATAATTAACTATTAAATATAACCCTCGACATGCTCAGATGTGCTGATTCACTAAAATTATGCCTTCTATTTAAAAATAGCTTAGCTTCTGACAGAGAAATTCATGGCTAAGTAAGAAAATAATATAAAAGGAATCTGATTAATCATATATGTAATATGAATACGCAATTCATACATTAAAGTTGATTAGCCCTGTTAATTAGCTCAATTACAATTTAAATTTAGAATTATTGAGTTAACTGTTAATCTTTTCATTTTTAATGATTATTACTGTATCTTAAGTAATATAAATTAACAAAATGCTTTCAATCGCTATTCTGTTAATAATCAAGCTTATTGATTATGATATAATATAATTTTTAAACCCAATTGAGTTTTCTTAATTTTATAAATATATGAGACATAACTTTTATATACAGTACTAATTTACAATTATTAAATATGAAAGGAGTATCTCTTATCATAGCTATTATATTTTAAATTCTCAAGATTGGTTTAAAATTTGAACTACATCAAATGATTTTAAACATCCATAATAAGATTAATATATTTTTAATATTAATGAAGATACCCTAACAATTGTATTTTTATGATCTATAAAATCACAATACTTAAATTAAACAAAATTGTATAAATTATCTAACAAGTATGATTTAAGTTAATATCATAAATATAAAAAGACAATAATTACATAAATAATGAAAAAAAAATTAATGATAGATATTTTTATAATTTCAATACTCATAGCTTCAATTTGTTCTCACAGAAAGCTAAATTAATTAATTCAGAATACCCTTTCTGTTTATTGTCCATTGATCATCAGACTATTTTTTGAGTGATTTTTCGTAAAGAAGCACAGCTTCTTCATATTTTTGCTAATCCTCTAACAATTATCCTGAAAATGTAAATAATAAGATACCTTTAGCTCCTAGTGAAAATGCATGATTAGGATTAATTGAGAGTGCTTGATCTAGATATTTTAAAGAATCATTAAATCTCTTCATTTTTCTTAAACATGTACCTAATATTTAAATTCAAATTATATTAACCTTTATAAAACAAAGAATTAACATCTTTAGGATTGATGGCTAATGCTTTATCCAACCAAATGATTGAATCCTCATATCTACCTAACATCTGTAAACATGAACCTAATAAATAAATTCAAATTAAAAAATACCTTTGTAAAATAAAGAATTAATATCTTTAGGATTGATAACTAATACTTTGTCGAGCCAAATAATTGCATCCTCATATCTATTTAACATTCTTAAGCATACTCCTAATAATTAGATTCAAATTAAGTCTACCTTTATCCCATAACGAATTAACATGTTGTGGATTGATAGTTAATGCTTTTTCAAACCAAATGATTGCATCTTCATATCTACCTAAATCTTTTAAACATGAACCTAATCATAATTTTATTATTATCACCTTTGCACCATAATGCCTAATAATTATTAAGATCTAATTAGATGGATTTATCTAATAATTAAATTGATTCTTTAAATTTGTTTTCTTAAATTAAATCTTGACCTAAAAATTTGATTTATATAATTACATTTAGCATAGATTTATTTTGATAATTTAATATCATTACTACTTATCTAATAGTAATTAAATGATACTATATTTAATTAATCATATAAATTATTTAAATTATTAGTTAATTTCACTATCTAATCTGAGATGATATTTATGATTGATTCTTTGTATTCAGCAAATTTGATAGTGGAATTCAAGAAATCATTTATTTATTATGAATTCAAATTCACCAATCTTTCTTTTGATAGTGAATATTTATAACTGATTCCCTTTTTAAATAAAGAAAAGGATTCATTTAGATTTTCTACTAATTTCTAAAGAAAATTTATCAAATTATCGCTTTCCTTATTTTACTTTTCAATATATTCTATCAGGCTGTTACTTTTTTCCACATCATCAAGATGAGAATGATGGATACCTTTCCTAATAAATGTAAAACAATTTAATCGGAATTCTGTACAGAATTAATTATAACAGACACTATCTATCTCATTCTCATGGTCATCTTTGTCGCATTTTAACTTTTAATTTCCTGCTTAACCCATTTTTTTATTTTTATATTATCTAGTTTATAAAAATATATCCGAAAAGTTTATTGTTTTAAATTGATTTAAATAAATTTTATTAAACAGATTATTTTCTTTGATATAAATAAAACTATTATTAAAATATCAAATTTATCAATGTTCTTCAATAATTTCTTTTTATAGAAATTAAAATCAGTTTCTATTTTTATCTTCCAGCATTTATTTATAATTTTGAGTTTGATATTAAATAAGTGTTAATGTTTAATAAAAATAATTTAGAATTTTATAAAGAAAAATTTAATATTTTTAGGGCTTTTCAAGCAATCTATAAAATAAAGTTGAAAATCATTTATTTATCTTTATTTACTTTCTTATTAATCCTCAATTAATTATTATATAATAAAGACCATACAAAATCCAATAGTTTTAGAAACTTCAAGTGTAAATTTAGATTAGAATAATTGCTAAGACAATTTATTTATATAATCTAAAGAATATTCCAGTTTGCAAATAATTCAATGTTTGGGACTGTAGTATGAGAATTAATAAACTTAACCTAGTTTTTAGTAAATTTTGTTATCTCAGGTTGACATCTATTGAAACCTTTGATATCATTATATTTAAAATCTCTTCTCAAATAAAATCATATTTTTCCTGTGAATATCAAAACTAAATTCATTTTTTAATTTCAGATAAATAATTACCCTCTTTCAATTATGTTTTTAAATTGTTTTCGCTATTCATTTTATAATAGTTATTAACCTTCCTCGTCTCTAGTCTAATTTAAAGTATTGTACATAATTCTTCTTGTATTTAGAATCTATTTAGCATACCTCACTAAAAAAAAATACTAAATGTTTTCTTATTTGATAAAGAAACTTAATCTCCATTATTAATTGAATTATAATGTGTAATTCATCATTTAGGTTAATTTTAAGTCTTAAATTATCAATTATTATAATTACTCCAAAATATATATATTCCTTATATTTATTACTTTATTGTTATTGAAATTTTGATGGATTTATATCCTACTCTATATATAAAATCAACATAGAACCCATCTTTCATTCATAATCTCTGACATATTCAAAGATTGAAAGCTTGATCACAGCCTCTTTCCAATTCTAAATCTTAGATTTTTTTGTTTCTAAACTATATCGTTAATTTTGCATACAATTAATTGACAACAAATCATCTTAATAAAAATGATGATTATATAAATATTTTTAAAACAAATTTTGAAATACTTGAATTATTAAAAAATTTATTTGATATTAATGAAAAGACGAATTGAAAAAAAATTTTTTTAAATTAAAAGGAGCAATATTTTACTTTTATCAATCAATACAAATTATTTAGTATCGTATAATAATTAATAATTAATGGTATTATGGATATGTTGAGAGGAATAGATTAATATTTTTAATTCAGCATTATATAGAGGGTTTTTGGACAATAAGTACTGAGATGTTTAAACATCATAAATAGAGATCTTTTTCAAAAATATAACATGGTGCTATAATTAATATGATTATTTACAAGGTATGGAGATGAAAAATGATCAAAAAACAATACAAGAATTTTCAGGATATTCTGGATGAATTTCACAATTTGATTTCTCCAAAGATAACTCAAATTTATTCTCTTTTTTATTCTAGCAGGAGAGAGATTAGTTTAATATCATTTCTATCAAAATAATAAGTCTAAGATAGAATGAAGAAATAAAACTAATTTATTTACTATAACTTCTATTCTTTTACTATGAGCCTTTTATCTATTCTCACTTAAGAATAACCTCATATGAATAACAATCATGGTATGAATATAAGTATAATAGGCTTTAAAGGTATCTAAATATATATTTTTCTATAAAAATAAATAATTATTAGATTACAGCATTTTTTATTATTTATAACCAGAAAATACTAAATTAAAAACTAGAAACTACTTATTCTGTTTTAAATTTATAATCAAATTTTATTTAACTTGATAAAAACTTCTTATAAATATCAAAATAATCATAAACTAGAAATTATTAGTTGATAACTCTTTAAGTGTCTTAGTTATTCTTAAAAATAAATAGTAAGTTTTGGATGAAAAGAAATAATCGATGATGAGTCTCTAATAGGCCTACTTAACTCTTAGTTCGCTTCATCATACTTAATGGCATTGCAGTAAATTATAGGTATAATAAATTTTTTGATTGAAAAATTAAAATTTAAATTAAATGAAACATCATTACTAATCACACCTTAAAGGTGATTAATTATTTTTTGGATTATTGGACTGTAAGTATGTAAATGAAATTGATAACTTTAATTCCTGATTGCTTGAAAGAGATGTATTCTAAATAAGAACTAAGTGTATAGGGATGAACATTTTTAAACAAATGGTGAAAAGATTGAAATGTATGTCTATAAAATGATGTGAGAGGTATTAACAGGTGAAAAATTTTGAAATTTCTCTAATGATAAAATAATTAAAAGAATTTCCCTAATTATTAAAGAATTAAAACAATTTAAATATGTGATTCTAAAACAATAATTAAATAATGTCGAAATTTTTACAATCAGAATCAGAAGGATCAGATCAAGAATCTTAAAATCAAGGTTCTAAGTTCTTGTAAATAAAAGAAGAAAATGAAATAGAAGAAAAAGGGGCTCAAGAGATAAAAGAATCTAAAAATGTCAAATAGGAAACAAAAAAAAATAAAAATAAAAAGGATGATTCCGATGATGAATTAGATAAATTACTAGCATAAAAAGCAACCCAAGAATAAGAATTGGATGAAGAAGCAAAAAAGAAGGCTGAAAAAAAGAAAGAAAAAAAAGCTAAATAAGCTGAAAAGAAAAAAAATTAACCAGAATAATAACAACAATAATAATAAGCATAAGTACCTGAGAAAAAACCAGAGAAACCAGGAAAAAAGCCAAATGCTGCAGCATTGAAAGCACTTGAAATGTAGAAGATAAAGGAAGAAGAGTAAAGAAGAATTAGAGAAGAGGAAGAAAGATTAAGAAGAGAAGAAGAGGAAAGAATAAGATAAGAAAAGGAAGAAGAAGAACGTAGAAAGAAAGAATAAGAAGATAAAGCAGCAGAAAAGAAAAGAAAGAAAGAAGAGTTAATAAAGAAAGGAGTATTTAAAACAAAAAAACAACTTGAAGAAGAGGAGAAAATTAAGTTTATGAGAGAATAATTAGGAATTAAGTTGGAAGATGCAGGCAATACATCAAACGTTGTTAAAAAGAATAAAAAAAAACCAGGTTAATAAAATAATTAAGCAGAGCCAACTGTATAAAAGCAAACAGAAACTATATAACCTGAATAAAAAGTAGAAGAAAAGTAGCAAGAAAAATAACCTGAAAAACAATAATAAGTAGCAAAATAAATTCAATAATAACCTTAGTAATAATAATAATCAAAAGAGGAAGTGATCACTTAAAAAAATGAAGCTGAAGAAATAGAAAGTTGGGAATAATTTGTTGAGGAAGGAGAAGCAGAACAACTTCAATAAGAAAAGGAGAAATAAGAAAAGTAATAAGTCGAAGCTTAAAAAAAGTAATAAGAATAATAAAATCAATAATAATCTTATTCTTCAACAACAAAGAAAGAAATATTAGATTTATACAAACCTGTGGGTGAATTAAGATCTCCTATTTGTTGTATTTTAGGACATGTTGATACAGGTAAGACAACTCTTTTGGACAAGATTAGAAATACTAATGTGTAAGAGGGTGAAGCAGGTGGTATTACATAATAAATTGGTGCTACCTTCTTTCCAGCAAAAAAATTGAAAGAGGAGCTAATAAAAACATAATAGTTTTATTAAGTAGATTGCAATATCCCTGGATTATTAATTATTGATACACCTGGACATGAATCATTTTCCAACCTAAGAACTAGAGGGTCTTCATTATGTGATTTAGCCATTTTGGTTATTGATTTAATGCATGGTTTAGAAAATTAAACTTTAGAATCCTTAGAATTACTGAAGATTAGAAAAACTCCATTTATTATTGCATTGAACAAAATAGATAGATGCGTTGAATGGAAAAATAAGAAAAATGCCTCCTCATATCATTAATTATAAAATTAAACGAAAAATTGTAAAATGGATTATGAAACCAAAAGACAATAGGTGGTTACATAATTAGCTGAGAAAGGATTTAATGTGGCTTTTTATTGGGAGAATGAAGATCCTAAAACTTATATTTCAGTTGTACCTACATCTGGAGTCACTGGAGAAGGTATTCCTGATTTGTTGTCAGTTATTGTTAAATATACATCAGTGTATATGAAGAATAAAATTAAAGTTAAGGAATAATTTAATTGTACTGTTTTAGAGAAGAAAGTTACTGAAGGACATGGTACTACAATAGATTGCCTTTTGATTGATGGTTAAATAAAAAAGGATGACAAAATTATATTGGCTGGTTTCTAAGGTCCTATAGTAACTAAAGTTAGAGCACTTTTGACACCTCATCCAATGAAAGAAATGAGAGTTAAAGGAGAGTATATTCATCATGATGTCATATATGCATCTATGGGTTTAAAGATATCTGCTGTTGGTTTGGAAGATGCTATGGCAGGATCTTAAATGTATTTGGCTAATTCCTAAGATGATATTGATAAGGCAACATAAATAATAAATAATGAAATGGAGGAAGTTAAAAAATACATAAAATTATAAAATCAAGGAGTGGGAGTTGCAGCATCTACTTTGGGTTCATTAGAAGCTCTTCTATAGTATTTGAATAGTTAAGAAATTCCTGTTTCATATGTTAGTGTAGGGCCAGTATCTAAGGATGATGTTATGAAAGCCTTGAAAAATGTATTGTTAGAGGATGTAAATAGAAGAAAGAAAGAGTATTTTTATATTTGTTATTTGTAGATATGCTTGTATGTTAGTTTTCGATGTTAAAATATTGCCAGATGCTTAAAAATTTGCCGAAGAAAATTAAATCAAGATTTTTGAAGCAAATATCATCTATCATTTATTTACTAAGTTTACTGAA